TCATATTCCCAACAACATCATCCATATCACTATCATAGGTTGCATAACCTGAGATGCCACTAAGGATCACTAGCTTAATACCTTCCAAAAATGAGGAAGCATCTCCCAAAACTATCTATAACACACAAAAAAAGGTTGCCTCCTATCCATTATTATCTAAGAAGCCCCACTTTGTGAGTGTCAATGTTTGGGCTCATAAATGCCATACAAAGTACAGACTTCTTCAAATGCTCAACACCCATAAGGGCTAGAAGAATATACAATGCATGCCTAAATATTATAATTATCACATAAACCATGTACATAACCCTAAAACTTATCAGCATTTGAGAAATTTAATGGAAGAGTTGGTCAAAGTAGGGAAGCTAAAAAAAAATCATTCTGGCTACTCATGGAATGAGGCTAGGGAAGACATCCATGTGGAGATAAAAGAGTGAACTCATTCCATCCAAAGTGGTTCACATCACTAGCATGATGCTAGTAATCCTTGGATAAGAAAAAATAAAAGCATCCTACTAGACAAGTCATAAATAATTACAATCAAGAGAGGTAAACTTGGAGGCCATGTCTAAAGCCATTACATTAAAGTTGAACCAATCTCTTTTATCGAGGTGAACAAATAGGCTAATGGGAATCCCTTCAATGTTTTGGTAGTTTTTACGGCCTTGATAGCCAACTTTCATATGGAAATCATTTTAATTGACATCAAAAGTTCAATCAACATCATCTTTAAGAGATTGTATGATAAGATAAACTTTGGTGTTGCCTACATAACCTTGACTACTAACTTACTTTATGAATTTTCAAGGGAATAAAGAAAAAGGAATGCACGATCTTTTTCCATGTCATTTAGGGAGAAAGAGAATGTCATTGCACACATATGGTCAATTTTATCAAAGTGTATGCCCCTAAAACATACAACTTTCTCTCTGGGTGACCACTCCTTAATACATTTCATACTATAATATCCACTTATTATGTTGCAATCAAATTCTTGGTAAAAGGGAAAGAAATCATAATGAAGAGAGGTTTGGTGAAATCAAGGGCCTGTTAGCTCAAAGCTTGGGAATTATTTAGGAAGAGGTGTCGTAATTAGAGGTAGATAAACATGCAAAGTTAAAAACTTCTAAAGCATTGAAGGAGGCCCCATCCATTGAGGAAGCCCTTAAACAAACTTGTTGAATTGGTACTTCTTTTAGCTCTAAGTATTATGGGAGATTCATCGCAGCCCTTTAAGAGGACATTAAAGTGTTTTTCGATACAAACTACTACATTTGGGGGGTTTGAATATTTACCTCCATATTGTGTATATTTGCAAGTACTTCTATATGCCCTCAAACAGAACACCTCACCACATACGTAAATTCTCAAATGCTAAAGACCATATAGTCACTATCAAATATAACATAACGAACTATATTGAGTCAGATCCTCTAGTACTAAGAATTATCTCTTATAAAGGTATGCAAGCATCAATTGTTATACATTCGAGGGTGCAACCTAGGTATCTGTAGAGATCTCTCACCCATTTGTTTTTAATGAATACCATTATTCATTTCTTGAATATTACATTTAGTTTTTCTCTCTTTTACTTAAACCACTAAACACACTGCTCTTCAATATGCTTATTTTTAGTAAATAGTTAGACATAAATTGAGTTTCTTGACTCAAATGTGATGCAAATTTTTAATAATAAGCTACATCTACATTCTTCTTAGTAAATATATTATCCATATGAAGAGTACTATGTCAGACATACCAAGCTCAATGTGGTTTCTTAAACCCAAAGAGTTATTTTTAGACTATATAGATGTGGATAGCATTATGATCCAACTCGATATGACCCGACCCAACCTCCTTGGTTATATCATGATCGATCGTGGTAAGAAGCAAATATTAACCCCAAGATTCAATTGAAGTGTTGAAAACTAAAAATCATAATTTATATACAACACAGAGCTACTATTGAATATAATATATAGTGAAAAACTATTGAATATCATATATATATATATATATACATATATACATATCATCCAAAAATTCATGAACAATTTAAGGTCTATCTACAATAGTGCTTAACAAAAGAAAGTATTACAAAAGTAAAAGTCAAGCATGGAAAAGAAAACTAACCAAAAAAGATCAGAGTCTGATATCAAAAATACTAAGTGTGCTCTTTACCCTTTTTCTGGACTAAAAATAAAAGCAAAACCAGGAATGAGCCAATAGGTCAGTAGGCTATCGTAATCTAAAACAAGAATCAATAACTCCAACTAAAAGAGCTAAAAATATTGAGATAACAAATTTAAGTACTATGCAAAAAGCTGAAACTAAAATAGATACTGATACTATATGAATTTAAATAACTATTGAAAATAAATTAAAACAAATATTTTATAGTAATTATCAGAATGGCTCTCAAACCTAAATTTCCAGTATATACAAATAAATAATATAATCTCCTCATTTCCAATAGAATTCCTTCTCGGTGCCAACAAAATCCCCACTCTCTGCCAATATAATTCATTTTAAAGTAATATCAGAATAGCTCTCATGCTTCAAAATTTCTAACACATAAGATGATATAATCCCTTTTCTCTGCCAATAGAATTTCATATTTTGATCAATATACACATACTTTAATGCATTTCAATAAGTAAAATATAATTCAACTCAATTTAGAACTTGCCAAAATGCCTTAATGGATGGCTACATAAACCCTATTGAGCAAAAGTTCACATTTTTAGAAAATAACCAGATTACTAGAGATCGTGTATAACAAAATTCTGAAGCTTTAACTAAACTAAAAGCACTATTTTTGGATATCAACGAGTTTCTAAATTGATAAAAATCATTGCTTTCAAAATCACCCAGCGAAGAAATCTCAAATAGATACTTAAAACGATTATAATAATCATACTAATAATATATCAAAAGTTATACATTAAATTTATCAGAATTCAAAAAAATCATATTTTTGTAAAACCAAATTATAATTTCGATTAAAAAAATCTCAATAACTTTGAATTATAATGATCAAAATTCTAAAATCCTTAGGATATTCTAAGAACACATATTCTTTAATTATACCATTGAAAAATGCACTCTTTATATTCATTTGTTGGATTTTGAAACCTTAATGCAACAAAGGCTAGGAGAATTCTAAGGGTTCAAGTCTTGATATGGGGGACAAGATTTTCTAAAAATCTATTCCCTTAATTTGACTAATCTCATTAGCAATTAGTCAAGCTTTAATTTTTATAACTATTCTATAATAAATCAACTTATGCCTAAGAATCCACATGGTTAGGATAATACTTTGATTTTCTTATCTTAGGTTTAACACTTGAATATCATTTCAAATAAATTGACTAAGTTTATCATGCATAACAATCACCAATATTTATACAATAAAATTTCACTTACATCCTAAGGTTCAACCAATAAAATAATTATTGTAGTATTCATTTTATTTTTAGAAGAATTTCTTATAAAAAATTTACTAAAATTTTTGTTCCTAAGGTTTTTGTTCTTTAAGGTGGCTCTTCGAGTAACTCCATTATTTTGGTAATTCATTATTAAACATTTATTTATTTTCATTAATTTTGATTTTAAATCTTTCCATGTCTATTTTTTTCATCAAGTCATTTCTATTATTATAATTTCTAGCTCAAACTCATAAAAAATCACACACACACACATACACACACACACACACACACACACATATATATATATATATATATATATATATATATAAAAGCTTATTCTTAAATTCTTCTATGCACTCTTCCTAAGCTCTTGCAATCACAGAGTAAAGTTTGAGTTGTGACACCTAAGCATGTGAGTTTTAAAAAGCTACTTTACATCACAGTAATAGTATTGTCCCAAACAAAACCTTAAACATGTTGAAAAGCTTTGTATGATGCTATCTATGAACCAATTTAAAAATTTGTCCAAATTCTTTAGTCTGTCATTCTAAATTTACATAACTATTCAAATGTCTTCACTTAATTAATTGATCTAAACTATTTCGAATTGATTGAGACATGAACAACTTATCGAACATATTGATTCATTTGCACTCATGCACGTATAGAAATAAAAACATAAATCAATCACCAATGTCACGACAAATGGTAGCTCCAATGATACAACAACAACAAACCTTTTTCTCATTATGAGATCAACTACATGAATTATTTTTCTCCATTATGTTCGGTTACGGGTCAAATTCCATCTAAATTTAATAAAGAAAGATCATTTCTAAGAGGATTGAATCATGAAAGTGTAAGAAGCTGCCTTAGCTTTCCTCCCAGCTGAAATGACATTGATATTTTAAAAGATAATTCAGAGAATTCATTCTATTAATAAATACCCTCAATCTCACATTGATAGTTAGACTATATAATGAACTAAATCGAACAATGGCTTCCATCGCTTTGTCATGCAAAGAGCATCAAACAATCATCCAAAGATAATAAAACTTCATTTCCTTGCAAGATTCCAAATAAGAAAAAAAAATAATCAGAAGCACTGAAAAGTCCATTGAACTCCCAACGCTGAAAAAAGAGTAAACACTACCCAAAGCTTCTATTAAGAACCTTCTAGTATTTTCTTTAGTTATTTGTATGCAAGGTCTAAAATAAATGATGAAGAATAAAACAAACCTGCAGCTCAGATGAAATAAAGAAAGTTTATAGATACTTTCAATAGAGGGCATAATATTAAAAAAAAAAAAAAAAAGGGGGCCAAATTTATTTGGTAAAGAAGTGCCGACCACAACATGATTATGCTTTTATAAATTCTTGGTGGAATCTAATTAATACAAATAAACAGATCATTGTCTTATAATAAAAAACCACTTAACTACAAATCATCTATAAGAAAATATTACATCAAATTAAACCTCAAAGAAAAATCCTAACTTCACAACCAGCAACATTTTCTCTAGGATAGAATAGAGAAAAAAAAATAAAAAAGTCAAAATGACCCCTATATCATTTATATAGAGTCCTTCTCACAGACTATCTAATATATCCAGTTTAGTACATCAACTCTTCAAATTTGATCCAAAATAATTCAATAAAAAAAAAAATTGAATCTTATTTGAGGAGTCAATTAACTAAATTGAACATATTTATAATCTTGAACCACAAAAATCTCGTACAAATAATTCATACAATTTTTATATTTTTTCTCTGGCTTCTCTACTACCACCCACTGCGTCCTCTGTAGGTAGAAGCATAAATGCAAATTTGAGAGAAGCTTACAGGCATCCTTGCCAGCATTAAATACAATAGTAAATATATGCAGATTGCAATCTCTTATTCAACAACTGTAATAAGACTACTACCTCAATATGGCAGATGCCTGTTTTTGCCACGAGCCCGGGGAGATTTCATGACGAGAGTGCTGGATGCCCATGACTTGTTAGCTTCTAGATTTTGATCTGATAACCAACAACAAAGGCGGCCATCTTCACCACCAGTCCATCCAAAGATACCTTTCTTTTCTGAAAGGATTCCTTGATGAGTCATTGATGCTGGTAGCACTGTTCTCACAACACCAGTATGGCCTCCTTCAAGAATAGCCTCTGGAGAACCGATTACACCTGGAACAGTGCAGTTGATTGGGAAGTATCCCAATGTCCCAGCTCCGGTGCCGCCGATTACCCACAAGCGATCTTTGGTTTCAGAATAGTAGCAATCGACGAAGTAGTCAATCTGAGTGCCGCATCATAGCAATTGAAAACATGATTAGATAAAGTTTAAGCGTCAATTCAACTTGGACATGTTCCATGGCTTTAAGATAAAAAAAGAAGTAAAACAAACTGTGGTATTTTTATTTTGAGTTGAGATTGGTATAAAGTGAAGCAATTCTTTGGCATAATAACAACAATGGTTTCAGATCAATTAAATTTTGGAAAGCAAAAAGCTCAAACTGAGTAAAAAGTTTCTTAAACTTATTTTATGAATCCTGAATTTTAACCCAAATCGCTGTATCACAATAGCTTCCTTGCCATGAAAAGCACACACTTGAAAAGGACATTCATGTTGTGCGAACACCATGTTGAAACATGAGAATTGAGATTTTAAGATGCGTCACATATAAACGCTTAATTCTAAAGAGTGATAATATTATTTATCTCTTAAAAAACAAACATTAACACTATATGTACATACGCACGCAAATGGATAGTTAGAGAAAGATTTATAAACTTTTAAAAGGATAATATTCATTAACCTCTACTTTTTTAAACTAGCACTTTCAAAGTCTTCAAACACAAGATTACATCATTCTTTATGATGTACGTTGTAATTAGTAAATCTTTAGCAAGCATGTACTAAAATGAAGATGATTAACAAAGATAAAAAAGATAATATATATATATATATAACCTTATTTCACCAATGCCACAAATTTCATGAAACCACATACTAAATTTCAAGTTAGTTGTAGGGGACCACAAAAAATCCAAAGTCAATTGTGAGATTTTGTCACTTAAAATATAAATCCTTCTCTAGCACTTAATATCATCAGCCAAAAAAATTTCAAATCATTTGATGGTTTAACAAAGAATCATAAAAAATGTATGAAATTGACTGACAGTCTTTTTAATGAAATTTAAGACGGAATATTGTCTTGATCATATCTTTGAATGGCTAGGGTTTAGGGTTTAGAGAGAGCAATGCCAATTCAATATTTGGGAGGAGAAAAGTCTATCTCATGCGTACATGATAAGTGTCCTATGCATATCATGCTCTATAGTTTCTCAGATTTTGCATTCCCACGTTGTGCTGTGTCTATGATAGTGCTTGTGCTTCTTAGCTTCTTGTGATAGTATGATGGTTCTGAAGAAATTAGTGCAATCATTTTCTATCAAAATTTATTAATGCTAGCATGGTCCAGGTTAAGGCACCAAAAAAGTCAAGGACATGCCAGTTGCATTAAACAGAAATTCTAAGGTTAATAAGGGGATGGCTTTTACTTAGCATTAACCAAAATGGAATAATTCTAAAGTTGTTGACAATTACAGATTCATAAAGAATGTCTCGCATATCAACAATAAATTAGGCATTTAATAGAATATTCAAAAAGCTCATATAATCGTAAGGTGGCATTAAAGTCAAATGCAACCCAAAACAAGAATGAAGGCAAGTAGCAGCAAAGCTGACATCAAATAGTTAAAATAAGGTGGCATAGGCGGCAAGAGATGATGATCATCACTAAATAGGCATCTTACAAATAGAAGACAAATTAAAGGAGATTTATGTAGTAGAACTAACGTGGTCAAGATTCCATTGATCTGATGCTAAAGTACGGGTATCTTCAAAGTTGATGTCTCTTCTCCCATCCCTCCAATCCCAAATACTATTAAACATGTAGATAATTAGTGCATATAAACATCAAATACTTTTCTTGGAAAAAATTTTGATCTACTGTATGCACATATATTTTATAGCGTAGAAGAACTTAATACAGTCTTCTCATGCTTTAAACTTCCGAATGAAAAATAATGCACTTATCATTTGACACTTACAGGAGATTGTACACAATAAAACAAGTAAGATGATATGGTAACAATACAAAGTCCAAGTTTCATGTAGTCATCATAAGCTTAAAGAAACTTTCTGTTGTGGGATCACTATATTTAGTAGACCTTATGCAAGACAACATTAATTAAAGCAAAAGCATAAGGTCACAAAAAAGGTTCCATCACCTTACATGATTATTGCAATTAATTTTTTCATTTATTTTAAAAGCAAGGTGCAGGGGATAATGCTTGGATGATCCCCTTCATCCAAAGTAACATGAGGCCAGCCCACCTGTCCACAATTAAGGGCTTGATCCAGGTTTCTTCCTCAATGCAAGGCTTAAAGATAGGTTCTTCACAACTAAAGGAATGGCTATAACCATTTAAACCTCCTTATGGCCAGCGGCTCCTTCATGGGATTTTAAAGCTTTTGCTTTTTGCTCTTTTTTAAGAACTTATTGTCGAATATTTATCTTCGAAGGATAATTCATCCCCTCCACCTTGCTACAACAACAACAACAACAACATCAAGCCTTTATCCCACCCACCTTGCTGTTAAAATAAATTAAATAATTAATTACAATAATCATGCAAGGTGATGGGTCTTGTTTGAGATCTTTTGCACTAGCCTATGTACCACTTAAAGTCGTTATAGACCAATATATGAATTACTTTAAAGAACAGATTTATGGTCGTTACTTCTGAAGTGCTCTCCTAGTAGATAGGCATCATGTTATGGTTCATCAGCATAAAACGGTTTTGGTGCATATACTCATCATTACTGAGAAATAAATTGCTAATTTTATACAAAATATAATTGGAAACATGCCTGCCACAATGAGTAAAAAAGTCACGTGTCCATATCCTCTTTGTGGCACGATCCTTGTAATCTAAAAATGCAGACGAGTCAAAATTCCAAACCTCTAAAATTTGCAGAACAATGTGCAGCTGTTCAAAATTCAAATTTAACAAGAACAATTATTAGGTCCGGTGACCGGACGTAGCTCTACGTTAGGTCACCACTGAGTTACCCGGTATTTGCTCGGTATTGCTAGGAATTGCTTGGCAATAACGAGAAATACCGCTCTGTGAAGACTAATACCAAGTAATACCGAGCAATACCGAGTAATACCCAGTTTTTCTAGAAAAAACTCGGTATTGCTCGGTGTTGCTCGGTATTACTCGGTATTGCTCGGTATTTTTCTTCACATAATGGTATTTCTCGTTATTGCCGAGCAAAATCGACAAATACGTGGTTTTGTGCCTGCTACGTGGCGCAATTTAGTGCCGGCCAAACGTAGCTCTACGTCCTTTCACCGGACCAAATAAAAGTTATAAAGACAGTTCATTTCTTGAAGGTCTCATGGCAGGTCCTAAATAACAGAACTGCTGTCTTTAAATAAAGTGGAAATTTTCCAATGACACAGAAATGATTATATGATATTTACTAGTTGGATAACAGATGCATATGGCCCATAGCTAAGGCTGGTTGAGTGCTCTACTTCATCACGGTAAAAGAGAAGGCATAATAGCACATGAATTAGACATTTAACCTTAAAGTTTCAATCTGTGTTAAACACCAAAGCTTTTGATTCTTCTCCCCAAAGAACCCAAATTTCCCAATAGATGTTCCAACATTCATTACCTGCAAAATCAAATCCATAGCTGTCATAAGTGCTCGAAAGAAATTTCTCAAGCGCTAGAGCATTTTATACTCTCTTGAGAGAAGAAAGTTGAATTCCTAAAATCAATTAATTCTTTGAAAATCTCCCAAATAAATAAATAAGCAGTAATATATATATATATATATATATATAATTAAAAAATGCATTACTCTAACTGAAGAAATAACTAAATGAAGAAACAAAATGAAATCTTTTTTTGATGTCATTTCAGAATTCATACAAAAACAATGCAGAAACAAAGCAGAAAAGAAACTTTTTTTTTAAAGAAACTTAGTTGAGAATGCTAATAGAAAATTAAAAGATGATTACAAATTAATATTGCAGCTTTCTTGTGTATTTAAACCATCGGTACTAGTCCAAGTATGGGTAAAAAAATTTGGCAGTCTATGCTAAATTTATATATCATCATAAAGTCTATGCTGAAATTCATTAAATGAATCCAAATTTGATGTCTACTAATGCTAGGGAAATCAATGAGTGACAAGTTATGATCAAACCTGATAGCCATTAAAAATAGGCAAGAAGGCTTTGCATGCATTGAAATTTCCTCACCTATTTGACATGATATGAAAAGGCGAATTTCATGCGAGAAATTGGATGAGAAATTCCAATAAAGAGGGAAGAATTGTAATACCCAAAATTTTCAAGTCAAATATATATTTTTTTAATTAAATTATATTCAAAATATCAACTTTCACGAAAATTGCAAAAAAAATCATTCCATTGTGTTCTACTCATCAATTTGAGCAAATTGATATGCAGAACTATATGCTAATTTATATATACGTGAAAGTTATTGAATTAGTCTTAATTTGAAATTTTCTAAAGTTTAAATAGATTTACTATTCATTAATAACAATTGCTATAGCACACAAACACTTACATAATAATCTAGAACTCCACTAAAAGGTTCATGCAATGATAGCTTTTGATAAGGAACGGATGATTTATAAATCGGAAGTCTAAAGATTTTGTGGACGTGAACATTATTAGGGTGATAGATAAATATATATTCCACTTTCTTCTAACATCCATTTGGTAATCAAGATAAGGAAAGCTCACGGGTTCTGTTGTGCGGAAGTAGAGAGCTCGGCAAGGTAAGCTCACGAGTTTTGTCGGGCAGAAGAAGAGAACTCGACAGGCTAAGAGAAGAAGAAGAGGAAGAAGGGAGAGTTAGGGGGGATTGAAAATAGGTAAGAGCTTTGGTTTATATTACAAATATCAATTTATTTTTAAGAAAAATCCTGATTTAGATTATATCTAATTATGATTTAGGATTTTCTAGTATATGAGATAAGGGTGTCAAAATCTGACACGACTGGAAACCCGACCTAGAAAATTCCGGGTTTAGGTCAACCCATTTGTCATACGGGTCGTGTTCGTGTTTGTAATTCCGACCCATTTGTAAAACCGGGTCGGGTTTGGGATAACCCGGAAACCCGAAATCAAGCCTGATTGACCCATTTGTAACATCTCGTGTGACATGTCAGCATCGTCGCGTCACTTGCATCAGCGCGTGACTCGGTGATGAGCTGACTGCATCTTGTCTTCTCGTCGAGTCACATCCGCACTGCCGCCGGCATCTGGTGAGTCAGGTCAACCCGGTAACCCACACAGGTCGGGTCCGGTTTTACAATCCTGACCCATTTGCAAAACCGGGTCTGGTTAGTGTCAACTATCAACCTATTTGAATCCGGGTCAAATTGGGTTGGACCTAAACCTGACCCATTTTGACACCTCTAATATGAGAAGAGGAAATATTGAGGTGAAAGGGTTATTTTGGAATAAATATATTTTATTTCGTATGAGTAGAAAAAGAAATTGTAGGAATAATGAGGATTGAGAAATTTTATTTGTGTATTTAATTGTTAAGCGAAAGAAATTGTGAGGCATCGGAAATGAAGAAAGAAACCATCACGGTGGTACGATATGCATTTTTAGTACAATATGCAAGTTAATTGAGTATTATTGGCAAACATGCATTTGAATCAATTGCAGGTGATATGTGTTTTATACTTTCTCCTGTTGTATTTAATATGAAATTGAGTCAATAAACCATTCCACATATAACTTCATGTAATAAGTGATTTTGTTTTATGATGTTGTTACCAACAATTATGTCATACGAGGATTTGTATTATATGATTTATACAATCCTATCTATTTATATTTTTATACACCTGACAACCATTTTAATTTATTTGCATATGCATATTTCTATATTTATGCAAATGTCACATAATTTGGAAGGGAAAAATTAATAATCTAATAAGTCTGAAAATTTGTCATGTCATGTGGTAGGTAAGGAAATGCGACTCTAATGGGCAGTGCAACCCAGTAGAGGCAATGCGACCTCGATATGATACGAAGCTTATGGGTTATGACATTAAGCCTATGGGCTATGATATAAAGCTTACGAGCGATAGAGGCAGTGCGACCTCAAGTGCCTATAGGTTGTAGACCTAGACCTAACCATGTGAACATGACATTTTCTAAGACTGAAAAAGAGAACTATGTGATAAACTTAAATCTATTTCTGATTATTTATAATAATTTATAAGGTACAATTTTAGAAATAATTGCCAATGTGGAATTTATCGAAAGTGTAGTAGTTTTATATTAAAATACTACTATCATAATGTAATAATATTAAAATAACATTTTGCATAACTCTCATGTATACCGGTATTTTCACTTGTTATATTATAACCTACTGTATATCAATATTATTAAAAGATTATAGACAGTTTTCTTTTCTTACATGCGCGATACAAAAGGATTGTGTTTCATATATTTGAATGTTGTATTAGAATTGAATATTTTTTTGAGCCTCATAACTTAATAGATTTTGATTCTAGCTGTTGTTACAGGAAATAGAAAGGATAAAGTGAAGGCTAACTAGACTCAGGTCAATTTCAAACTATGTTTTGTTTTATTGTTGTATGAGATGAGTCCGGAGAAGAAGTATGCAAACTATTGTTATGAAAAGGTATTTAGGTGGCTAGTTACTCTATAATTATATTCATATGATGTAAATGAAAAATTACTCTCTAAAGATTTTTCAAACAATATGTTTGATATGACCTGACTTTCCACACAGATAACACTTCCTTGAATTAAGTAAACATTTCCCTGGATGTGACTTTCCATAATTAACGTAGGCTGGTATCAAACAGGACTCTCCATATTGTTGTTGTTGACCCTAGTGAAGTTTTTGCTTTCTAGATTGACCAGTTCGAGATCAAATTATCTCTTTTTGCTGCCAGCCTCCCCTTTCTGTATTACCATTTACATATCATGCTAGAATTAATTCAATCAGCTAGGTCATGTCATCTTTGTTCGCCTTCTATTCAACCTAAAGGGACAATTGTCGGGCCTGACACTGGCCCGACCACACCGCTTCATAATAGATGACAAATTTATTCAAGCAAGAAATTAAAAATCTCTTTATTCTATTTATTCTTCGAGGTGACAAATCTTGCATAAATTTTTAATGTTAACTAAAAGAACATAAAATTGACACAAATTTAACGCTACTGTTTGATCAAAAACTTAAGTCACAATAAAAGCATCCTTCATCATGAACTTGATCATCTCAGGTGTCAGGGAACAAGAAGCAAATGAATAGAAATTTAGTAAACTACCAGTATGTTCTGCTGAACATTTGAAAAAGAATAAAGAAATGCATGGCATTAATATGCTTCTATAAATAAAATCAACTGTAATGCTTCGTGTCCTTATATTGTATAAAAGAATCCATAGTCGAGCAAAGTTTAAAAATGCATAACTACAAAGAAAAGGGAGGGGCCCTAAAGAAATGTTAGGTTTCTCCATTATGACGAAAACATCTTCGTTTGAATCACAAAAACAGCTTCACTACAATGCAGGGATATGATTGAATACATGAACACTCCCAAGATTCCACATTATCAAAAGCCACACACAGTGAGTGTCCCCTTTGACAAATAAATCCAAAAGATAACGCCAATATTTTAGTTACTTACAGATTCCAAATGATTATCATCATCAATATGTCCAACAGTATCAAAAAGACATAACAATCCATCAACAGAAGAGGAAATGAGTTTGTTTTGCTGATTAGGAGTGAAGCGTACCTGCAAAACAACATGGAATGATTTACTGCAAGATTTTATGTGCTACTGCCATGCATGAATTAAGCAAATAATAATGTAAAGCAAAATTTCAACCCAAACAATCAAAGAAAAGGTTTTCAATGATTTGGAAATAAAATAGAATGTATTTGGCATGCCTCTCAAACCAGCGTTCTAGAAGACTAATAGTAGCAACTAACAAAAAACTAATTATATAGTAGGCCATGACATACCATAATAGAAATACTGCGACTTTCATTACCTTAAGCATATTATATTCAAAAATCCTTCAACATTTTTTCCCTCAACATCACCAGCACACTTTCTTAAACTGAATCACTTGTTTTGGATCACACTATATTATAAAAGCAAATCGAAATAGACTCCTCACTTTGGGATACCCAGTAAGAACATGGTTATCAGATCACCATTAGTTAATTAAGTTTTAAATTTTATTTTAAATTAATTAAATTAAATGATCGATTAGTTAATTAATTAGAAATTTTAATTGTATTTTTTTAATTCATTATTAAATTGAAATTTAAATTGATTAATTAGTTATTAGTTAATGGACTAATTACATAAAGATTTCATATTAATTTCTAAGATTTTAAGAGAATTCAGTAGCCTCTCAGAGCAATTTCAGCAGCCTTCCCACGTCCCCTTCCCACGAGGGGAGGTTAGGGAGGGCACTTTCTCTTTCGAACCGCCCGGCCGAATAGAATTCGGCAGCCGAGGGCTTCGGGGTGAGAATCAGCCCCAGTATTAGTCTTCTAGTCCTCCAATTAAGCACATGTTAAGAGGATTTTGCAATTCGATGTTCCCTTGGAATATGGACAACCTTTAGACGCCCTCTCCCTGGGAGGGGAGGTTGGGAAGGGCACTTGCCCTTTCAAGTCCGCTCGATCGGATTAAAATCAACAATCAAGGGCTTCGGGGGAAGAATCAACCCCGGAATTGGTATTCAACTCCTCCAACTAAGTGATTGTGGCGCTTTCTGCTCTTTATTATCATTATCATCATCACCATCATCATCATCATCATCATCATCATTATAATTATTATTGTAATTATACACATAATCCTCTCTTCCTCACTCACTATTTCAAGCAAACGGAAGGGTCCTATTCGCATGTGGCTCGGGTTCGTAGAGAGAGGCAGGACCTTTGGCGTGGGTTTCAAACGCAAGTGGAGCAGATAGACGGAAGGCGTTTGTGTGACTTGGAACAGAAGTCGTGGTTGAGCACACCTGCATGTGGGACGCAGACTAGGAGGTGTCGTCCACGTGAAGGGTTGGGAAGCATGGCTTCGGGTTCCAAACAGGAGACTCGGCAGGGCTCTTTCGTGAAAGAGTTCGGCCGAAGGCAGGGTTCCCCACAAGTCGGAGGAGTCGAGGTCGGTCGCAGGGGATCACGAGGGTCGGAGCAAGAGTTAGGTAGGATCTCTACGCGAATAGTTGCAATCGCAGCAGGTAGGAGGATGCAGACTTCTCACACGGGTGGATGCAGGTCTTCACACACAGCAGTAGACAGTGGGTTTGGGCTTTCACGCGGGTCTGGTGAACAGAGCGGAAGACGGGCAGGCTGGTGTGTTCGATTGCATGAGGCGGAGAGGAATATGGGCTTCTAGTGCGTGGTTAGATGACAAGAAGAGGTCGATAGCTCTAGCTTGAGGTTATGCGCATTAGAGTTGGCGAGCAGGCTCTGCGTGAGTTCCTTTAAGCGAAATAAGATAGAGCGGACTGGGGGGATCATGCGTGAGTGGGAGTTACGTGAGTGGGTTGTGAGATCGTGGGTTAGTTGGCTGTGATTAGTTAGACGTCAACATTGACCCTTGCCAAACCCCAAGCCAAGCTACATCCTCAAACAAGACAAATCCCAACAATCGATATCTTCCATCTCTCTCCCCTCTCTAATAGGGGTGCGAGTCAAGCCAACTCGTAGCTCAAGCTCAACCCAATAAATGACTCATGAGCCAAACTTGAGCAAGCCCGGGTGCGAGTCAAGCCAACTCGTAGCTCAAGCTCAACCCAATAAATGACTCATGAGCCAAACTTGAGCAAGCCTTAACTCAACTCGTTAACTTGTGAGCTAGCTTATTTAAAAAATATTATTATAAAATATACTTAAAATATATTATAATTCAGGAGTTCAAGTACAAAACTATTATAAATATTTAAAAATTATATCTCATTTTCTTATATCAAGTAATTCTTTATTATTTATCTTTAAATTTTTCATTCTTTCTATGATTTTATTATAATAATTATTTGAATCATAATCATTTTCTATCTTTCGTTACATATAGCTGGTTTGTGAGCCGGCTCGAACTCAATTAATTAATTAAGCTCAACCTCAAGTTAGAGATGAATCGAGCTCGGTTTAGCTCGTTTACATTCCTAGAGTCTTGTGGTTATAGGAAACTTGAAATCAAACCATAAAATCCTTATAAAATGAGAGCAAAATCTTTGGATAGTGAACCTAAGATGCCATATGAAAATTATACCCAGAAAACCAAAATAATCTCTTAGCAAAGCCAAACCATGAAGTTTTGGAGGCTACAAGCCCATAATCCCATTATCAACTTGTGCTTGAGAAGATATCTAGACAATTGAAAAATATATCATGGACGAGATCCAAGCCGAACCCAACATAAACAAATGTGGGTCATGCCATAATACAAAGCTAACCACATTTGATTTAGATTCCACACCACTTAAGAATTTTAATTTGTAAGTATTTGTTAGACCGGTCCACTGGACCAACTCTTCAAGTTCTTACTGTTTGTGATGAAGAAGGAATGAAGGGTGTCGTCTTTCCACCTTGCGGACAAGGTGGATCTTTGGGAGGGGAGTATTGTTAGACCGGTCCAGCCAGTCCGCACGGGACCGGCTCAGACGTGAAATGTCGCGTGATCTCCGCCTCCTGCGGAGATCGGGCGGGCCGACAGCTCAAACGGAGCGTTTTAGGAAAGATTTTTGGGGGGTTTTAGATAGAAATTTGAATGTAGGGACTGTTTAGGGAATTCCTTTTGATTTGTATGCATTAAATAGTTGATTTTTGCTAGGGTTTGGGCATCTTGAATTTGGCTGAAATTTGAGATCTCTTAGATTTAGGTTTTCTTTGGGCTCTTGGCGTTGCCAGAGATTTGGGAGAGAACGATCCTCCTCTCGAATTGAGGATCAATTGTATCTTGCTAATTTATTCATCGACTAGTGGAATACAAGCTTTTCTTTGAGTTTTCTCTCAGATTTCCGCGTCGTTTTGTTGTTTTTCTGCTGTAAACAGAAGATTTCTGCTGTATTTCTGTTGTGGACAGCAGTTTCCATCGGATCAACTTCAGTTTTGGTGAGAAACACTTGGGAACACAAGTGTTTCCTATCAGTATTCCAAGAAGATGGCTAAAACAACTAGACATCATAGTAGATGAGAACCGGTAAAATCGACACGCAGAAGCCTTAGCTAAAGAACACATATAACTCATAGTGCAGCTAGCTAGCACGACTCGCTAGGTCACAACATATTTCATCTTCATTAAAAAGATTTCTACATTAAATAGTTTCAAATAATGCTATTATTAAAAGGGCCTCCATCATATAACTATACTACAACGACAGAAATACCAGAGTTGCCTAGAAAAACATAATGCAATGCAAAACGTGCTTCCAATCTCCACACATGTAAGAACTCCTAATTTTTTTCTTCTCCCTATTGACCAAAACCATGACATTACCACCAATCGTTAATGTTTTACCGAACCTTCAATCCTAAATACTCAAAAGAGGAACAGAACATCTTTAAAATAATAAGATGGATCAATAAAAGAAATTGCAGCGAAAAATCTACATTGCTGTAAGGAATTTATAATCCTACGCAGCTAGAAGAAATAATTACATGGTGAAAATACCAAATGGTATTAGTTCCATATGAAATATCTAAGAAAATTTCAATCTACTAAGAAACAAATAAAGCAACTCATACATCAAAAAACAAGCTTTAGAATTTAATGTCTATAAAAATTTCAACCATATTTTATAGAAATATTTGAAATGATATTAATAGAAAATGTTAAATTATTCAAATTCCCAATTAAAACAAGTGTTCTACTAAGCCTCATTTCCAACTTTTTGAAATATTTATAATATTACAAATTAAGAAATTCAATATGAAAATCTTGAAAGGATAAGTATGTACTTGAGTTACGTCATCCATGTGAGATTCTTCCAAGCAAGCTACTTGCTTACTACTTCTCAAATCCCAGAAGAAAATCTGCAAGCAACTAATACATTAAGAGTGTATCACATAATTCATGTTGTATATGTTTATGAATATCTTAAACTTATTTAAGCAGGAAAAAGAATTGGAAAAGAAGTGATAATTGAATTCCAAAGCACTATAAAGAGCATGATAAGACAAAAAATATAAAGAGAAGAATGTGGACTTGATTGCAAATATGAACCTGAAGATTTAGTTTTGCATGTTAAGTATATATTAGCATCTTTTAAATTTGTAACATAATTTAATGCAAAATACGCTTTCACCCATTGTTTGAAGAAGTATAAAGCATTAGGCTTTGCAGCTAGATATTTAAAAAAAAAAAAAAAAAACCAGAAGAATTTATTGTTGAAAATTGTCCTTCATCACCTGAAAAGCACAAAATTTTGCCCGAGATTGTTTAATGCAACAAGCTCCAAAAGAAACAGCCCTATAATCAATCCAAAAGTGTAAAGAATTTCTGAAAGACTGGCATTACAAGAAAAACATTTATTTCCGACAAAATTTTCGGCAATTAACAGGCCGCCCCAAATAGCGACAGAAATATTGACGGATTTATCGATAGAAATTGGTGTGAAGTTCTCTGGCGGAATTTCCGCAGGATTTAGGTAGGCTGATGGTATTTTCCGGTGAACGTTACGCAGAAAATTCCGCTGGAGAAAGCCCTACTTCAACGTTCCTCCGTCTAATTACATGAATTTTCTCTGTTGCGTGCAAAAATCCTCTCCCATTCTACTCCTGTTTGCCCAGCCACATGCGAAATCCCTCAGTTCAATGGCCATTCCCTCGTCCGTCCGTCCTCTTCGAGGTCGTTCATCCTTTCTACTCGTCCTTCACCGTCTATAAGTTTTCTCCGTCGTCGATGGTTTCTTTTTTGAGCTTCTTCATTTTGACAGACTTCCATAGATATCAATTAGGAACATTGTGAACAAATTGCCTTACATCAACTGTATTCTATTTTTGTGAAGGATGTGTTTCTATTAAACAACCAAGAAAAAATATTAAATCATTTTTATATGATTAATAGCATGTTAAAAACCATGGTTTAAAATTGCACCATAAGAGGCGCGCCTCAGCGCAATTTCGCCCCTTTAAGCCTCAAAGCCTATGCAATGAGTTCAGGATTTGAGGCGTACGCCTCAAGTTTACTGAGACGTGCCTCGCCTCAAGGTTTAGAGGAGTCCGCCTCTAAAAATAAAAAAAAAATAAAAAAAAAAGCTAAATGTATATTTTGTTGCGCTTTTGGTGCACTTTCACTGCGTTTTTTGTGCGCTTTTGCGGCTCTTTTGGTGCACTTTTACTGCGCTTTTAATGCAATTTCACTACACTTTCATTTGAGTCGAACCCCGCCAGGGGGCAGCGACCCCTTGGACCCCTGACAGATCGGTATATTGTTCTATTCATCATCTTTAGTAATAGTTGTTAGTGTTAGTCTGCTTATTTATGTGCATGCTTTGTATAAATTTTCTTAATGTAGTTCATCATAATGATGCTTCAAATGAAGACCCCCTTAGTGATGATAGTGCTTATGACTTATGAGTTCTTATGTGATATCTCATTGCTATTTATTTTTGGAATTATATGTTAATACTGTGATTTGGGAAAGATGGAGTTTGAGTTGAACTATATTTCAGGTTGTCTTATTATTGGGATATTTTGATTTCACTTCATAACTTGTGCATTTTTATGTTTTATATATTATTTACTCATTAGTATATACAAAATTTATCATTTTACGTTTACGCAACTTTTTGATTTTGAGGCTTACGCCTCAAAACGCCATGAGGCTTACGCCTCGCCTCACGAACGATAAACGCCTCAATACCCGATTACACAATTTTAAACATTGTTAAAAACCAAGAACTTGCCCAAATGATTTTGAGCACAAGTTGTGAATTGTGCTATCTACTTCTTTAATAAATCTCCTATAAAGAGTTTGAATGGAAACAACTTTGCAAGAAACATGGAGTAGGAGAAGGCCAAGCTTCTCTCACTTGAATGTTTATAAGCAATGCCCTATAATAGTGCTAAAATTTTCTCATTGGATATGATGTAAAACCAAAGGTTTATAAGCTCTTTGATCAAATTGTTAGAAAACATTGTTAAGTAATGAGGAATTTGATGAAGAAAGTTGTTATAATATACATACCAATAAAAGTGATCCATTTTTTGAAAGAGGAAGATCAAGCAAACAAAGAGTAAAATCATACATTGTCACCATTTTTTGGTCACATGTTGATCGAGCCAGAGGGACACATATGTACTGCATTTTTAACATTACTAAGATAATTTGAGAAATGTTTTCCCACCTAACATGTTTTGTGCAGGTTTCATCCGTCAAAACAGCTCACGCACAAGATACGGGGCATCATACGAAGCAGGTTTGACACTTCTTATGTTTCTTGGAAGAAAATTCTGAAGGAACTGCGCGACATGTGGTTTAGGGAGTTTGAGGTTTGTATTAAGCAGTATCAGTAAGAAATATGCATTTTAATTAAGCTGACAAAATATATTCTATGTTGTACATTTTTATATGCAGAGAGATACCTATTGGTTGCTCCAATACAATGACAAGATCAAAAAAAAAAAAAAGAGAAGCACAGATCAACTCGCTTGCGAGATATGTTTACGGACATTAGGAAGTCAGGCGAGCGACAGCTCTGAATTTGTGAGAGTGTATGGGCTGACCTGAGCAGTGCTTAGGCCAGCCAAAATTAAGCGAAGAGGGGCCAAAATAGTTAGAATCGAGCTTCTGATGCTGGGGTATGGGTAGTGCCCTCCATAGTTAAGGCTTTCTTCTGTACTTTAAGCACATGCGACGTTTGGTAAGAATTTTAACAGATTTTAATAATTTATTTAGTAATGAATACTAATGTTAGTATATTACAGAGAGTTGATGGATAGAGAATCGTCCGTTGTTGAGTTGCATAGTCATACCCATAAGCGCCATGAGGACCAACAGTAGGTGGACGAACAAGCGAAGAGATCCTATGTGAGTATATAAGTTTACAATTTAAGTGTCAATTATAAATTGATTAATCTAATGTCATCTTTTGTAGGATAAGTATATATGGCTTCAAGAGAGCAAGCCTGGAACAGGTGAGGAATCCTCTGGGGGATCTGCAAATTATTTTTTCTACCACATTTGGTCGCAAGAGGTAGGTGGATTGCAGAAGGGACGAGTATATGAATTAGGCTCACAAGCCTATACGTATGAGGGACAGTACTCTACTAGCTCCAACTTCTTAGGAAGCAGCCATGAGAGTTTGTATAGTTAACAAGTGGTTGCCCTTAAAGCAGAGCTAGAGCATGTTCGAAAATCACATGCTGACATGCAGATGCAGCAAAGTCAAATATTAGAGGAGCTACAGAGAATGAAGGAGCAGTTCAATGGAAGGCAGCATCGACGGGGGAGGAGAGGGAGGAGAATGAAGAAACGGATTCTGACTAGAATATATATGTTTGTAGATTTTATGTTGAGTTTTTATTGTATAAGAACGGAATGTTTATTGTAGAACTATTTGGTAATTGTAGAACATTTGCTTTTGATTAAATGCATTATTACTTTAGCATCAGCATTTGCTAACACGCTTTATTCCAGTTGCTACCAGGAAAATGTTCCTATTTAAGGTTTCATCTTTTCTTTTAATTTTTGTTTTTACATGCTTCAATATGAACTTAACAATCAAGAGCTTAAAAGAAAAAAAAATCATAATAGCAAAAAGCCAAGGAAAAATAATTGGAAAAAGATTAACGAGCTATAAATTATTTGATTTCGGTGTTCATTAAGAAGATCGTTCATTAAAAGTAATATTTATGAGCTCGACAAACTACTTGTTTATGGGCTCGATAAGCTTGTTCATTTATAGGCTCAATAAGCTTGCTCGTTTATAGGCTCGTTTAAAGCTCGATAAGTATAAAACGAACTGAACTTGAACATCTTTCATTTTAAATGAACTAAGCTTGAACATAAACGAAAAAGATTGAATAGAGCTCAAACATGCCTTTAGCAAACAAGCTCAAACAGGAGCAAACACATACTCGGCTCAGCTCGGTTCATTTACATTCCTAGTATAATAGTCACATATGTATCAAAAGCAGTTTTAATTAGATTTGATGATATCTTGGTTTTACAGATACCTAGAGAGTAAGCCATGTCCAGGAACCCGGGTGAGTAATAAACAAAAACATCTTATTTAATTTTATTTTTTCAACTTTCTTTTTTTTTTAAATATTTGCACATCTTTTACAGATACTGCATTTATCTGAGTTATAAATTTGAGCGGTTGTTTTGGTAATTTGATCAATTTGAGCGGTTATTTTAGTGACTTCTTCAATTGTTTGCTTAAATACAGATACTGCATTAATCTGAGTTATAAATTATTCATCTTTCCTCCTGTTGCTGCTATGGTAATTTTGTTTCTGAGTCTGACATGATTTATTGCTTTTATATTGGATATTTATGCACCCTGAGTTTTCTGATTCATTTTGTTATCCATTTTGGCATTGTCAATTTTGGTGATGTTGGTTTTAAGTCTGGAGTTGATGGGCTTTCTTTGATGTCGGGAGAGTTTTCTCTTGTTGCAGTTTATCTTGTTTTCACTTAGACTCTGACATGCCATACTGCACTCTGTTGTATTTCTGTTTCTGTTGGTTGGTGGCCCTATCTTTGGTGGGATCTCTATTTTCCCTTTTGATTTTTGGTTATTTATATTGTTTTGAAGGTTTATTTTTTATTTTATTTCTGATTAAATCTATGTTCTGATTTATGGTGAGTGTTAATTGTACCTTCAGGTTTTCTTGGATCACATTACATCTTTTCATTGTGCTTAAATGGAGAACAGTGGAGTTCAGTCTCGAAGAAGAATCTCTTCAATTAGTACATTAACTCAAACTCTTAAATCCCATGATGGAACTGGAAGAGCAAGCAACCCTTCAGAATTTGTTAATCATAGTTTGTTTTAAACGGACATGCTCTTATTTATTAGCTAATATGTTATGATGACTTTTCACATCATCGTTAATCTTTTTCCAACTATTTTTCCTTGGCTTTTTGCTATTATGAATTTTTTTTCTTTTAAGCTCTTGATTGTTAAGTTCATGTTGAAGCATGTAAAAACGAAAATTAAAAGAAATATGAAAGCTTAAATAGGAACATTTTCCTGGTAGCGACTTGAATAAAGCGTGTTAGCAAATGTTGATCAACAATAACCTTTATGTGAGAGAAAATTCATAAAATTAAACTAGTGTCATTTATATTTTGTTGTTTAAGAATGAGCTAACAATTAGGCTGCCTCTGTATTAATGCTAAGTGCATGGTCATCAAATTACTGAATAACAATCTTGTTTATGTTTGATAGGTATGTTCATGAAAAAGATCTACTTGTTCATGTTTGATAAATTATTTGATTTCAGTGTTCATTAAGAAGATTGTTCATTAAAAGTATTATTTATGAGCTCGACAAACTATTTGTTTATGGGCTCGATAAGCTTGCTCGTTAATGGGATCGATAAGCTTGTTCGCTTATGGGCTCGATAAACTTGCTCGTTTATAGGCTCGTTTAAAGTTCGATAAGTATAAAACGAACCAAACTTGAACATCCTTCATTTTAAATGAACTAAGCTTGAACATAAACGAAAAATATAGAATACAGCTCAAACATGGCCTTAGCAAACAAGCTCAAACAGGAGCAAACATATACTCGGCTCAGCTCGGTTTAGTTACATTCCTAATATAATGGTCGCATATGTATAAAAAATGGATTTAATTAGATTAGATGATATCTTTGTTTTACAAATACCTAGAGAGTAAACCATATCCAGGAACCCGGGTGAGTAATAAACAATAACACCTTATTTAATTTAATTTTTTCAACTTTTTTTTATTTTTTTGAGCTTCTTGTTTAATTATTTGCACAACTTTTACAGATACTGTATTTATCTGAGCTATAACTTTGATCATTTTGAGCGGTTGTTTTGGTAATTTGATCAATTGGAGCGGTTGTTTTAGTAGCTTCTTCAATTATTTACCAAAATACATATACTGTATTTATTTGAGTTATAAATTATTCATCTTTCCCCCTGTTGCTACTATGATAATTTAGTATCTGGGTCTGACATGATTTATTGCTTTTATATTGGATATTTATGCACCCTGAGTTTTCTGATTCATTTTGTTATCCATTTTAGCATTGTCAATTTTGGTGCTGTTGGTTTTAAGAATGGAATTCATGGGCTTTCTTTGATGTCGAAGAGTTTTGTCTTGTTGTAGTTTATCTTGTTTTCACTTAGACTCTGACCTGCCCTACTGCACTCTGTTGTATTTCTGTTTCTGTTGGTTGGTGGCCCTATCTTTTGTGGGATCTCTGTTTTTCCTTTTGGTTTCTGGTTATTTATATTGTTTGGAAGGTTTGTTTTTTTATTTTATTTCTGATTAAATCTATGTTCTGGACCTTCTGGTTTATGGTGAGTGTTAATTGTATCTTCAGATTTTTCTTGCATCACGTTACATATTTTCATTGTGCTAAAATGTAGAATAGTGGAGTTCAGTCTCGAAGAAGCATCTCTTCAATTAGTAGATGACTTTTCACATCACGTAGTGGGACAAAGGCTTGTTGTTGTTGTTGTTGTATTAGTATTTCTGTGTAATGTTGAAATGTGAGGATACTATATTTATGTTCTAATTGTCTATGATTGTAGAACTGTTGAGATGTACAATAATTGAGGTAAGGTGCATTTTTTTTTTTTTTGCAGGGTTACAGGTTTCCGAAGGATTTCTGGCGGCTTATCCGTCGAAAATGACGAAACGACGAATTACAAAGATATTTCTAGTAGTTTATATCCGCCGGAAATTCCGGCAGTTCACTCACCAGTATTTCCAGCAGAAATAACCGACAGGCGGTTTCGCTAGACTAGTATTTCCGACACGCGTTTTACTGTCAGAACTTTTTCCACCAGATATCCGTCATAAAGCTGTTTTTTTTTTACGGATTTTACTCATTTTTCGGTGGATATGACTGTCGGAAATGAGCGTTCTTCCTGTAGTGATACTATTGTGAATCACCACAGACTAACCATGAAAGCATATCACACTTCCTAGTATGTGCTCCTATCAGTATAATCCAAATAAGGGAAAGTAATACGAACCAAAACATCTAAGAGAAAAAAAAGTAATTAAACTACAAAAAGGTACGGAGGAGAAAAGTTGCCCAGGTTTAGCATCATTGTCAACTTTACATGGCACGGGTGCTATTTTTCAACAAACAATAGCATTAAACGGCCACATAACCCTTGATTGTAATCAAGAGCAGAATCATACTTATCTAAATCATTGTCAACAGAAAAGATATGTTTAGTTCAAAACTCTAATAATCAAACTACCTCGGATTTACCTCCACCAGCAAGAAGATTAGTGCTTGATCCGCCAATACAAAAGCTAAATATTTCTTGATAGGAAGCTGCTTTTAATAAAGAAACCTGCACCATCATGTAGAAGGGGAAAATTTTTGAGAGGGTGAAACTAAAATAGAAAGGTGCATACCATCAACTACCTGGTTGAGTGGTACTGACTTTGATCTCTAAAATAAAGTCCTAAGGTTTAAATACTTCATAAATAAATAAAAAGAGTTGCATAATTTGTATAACACAATACCATTAACAAGACATATCCTAAGATATGAAACATTGATTTCTGAGTAAATCCGTAAACCATCAAACAAAATAATATAGTCTAGAAGAACTGTTCACTACATTGTAGAAGAAAAATTATCTTCATCATCACAAGCTTAGCTTTATCCAAACTATTTGGCGTAGGATTTACAAACTATCATTCCTAATTTATTATTTGTTCGATGTTGCACAAGGTGTTCAGATTTCACCCAAATAATTTTGCAAAACTTCTATCCTTTTATACATGCTACATCCAGCCTCTCTAATTCCTTTTGAATCCTTCCCATTAAATTTATATGCTCAAATCTTTTCAAATAAAAAGAATGCGAAAATAAAAGCAAACCATACTTTGCAATCAAATATCACAAGAAAAAAGAAATCATAAATTTATCCCACCCAAAAAAAAACTTCTTCGTACTAAATATTTCTCAAGTACTTAAAATAAAGCCACTACTAATGCTCTTAGTTGCACGATAGAGATTTTCAAAATGATGAGCATCTAGCATCTGACTTGATTGTTACCTCCTTTATAAATAAATTGAAGATAAAAACATATAACCATGTGGATTTTGGTTGAAGGGTTCTTATCTTTCTTCAATCAACCACATGCACTGATGAGGACATCGATCAGAGGTTCAAACATGTGTATCGCCAGAAGCATCGCAGATCGACGGCCACAATTCAGAGTTTATATTTTTAAATATTTATGCATTTTATTTTCTTTGAGTCTTTCTATTGTACCCCTATTATGAGTTGAGTCATGTTGTAACCCTGAGGGCAATTTAGTCTTTGTTCCATCTTTTATGTTGAGACCTATATATAGGTCATTTCTATTGTAATGAGATGATGATTGATTAATGAGAAAATTTGTATTTCTTCATCTTCTTCTTGTGAGAGCACTAGAGAGAAGGGAGAGAACTCAAGGTGAGCACGTGCAAGGCCCACCAGTCGTTGGAAGAGTCCTCGACTCGTGGTTTTCAACTTATCTTATTCCTCTTTCTCTTTTCTTCACACCACCCGCCACCTCCCCCTAGCTCCCACCGCCGGCCCCCTCTTCCCACCAAGATCAACCCGAAAGCCCCACCTACCCGAGGCCACCGTCCACTACTCCACCAAGCCAATCCCTTCCCCATTGGTTCCACCACCATCTCCATCCAAGCTCAAGCCCACCGCCGGCCATCTCCTTTCCACCCCTTGAATGAAGAGTTAATGCCTCATAATTACTTTCCTATAGAGCTTGAAGAATTTGGGAAACTATCTTAAAACTTTTGAAATTCAAAATTTGAATTTCAAATAGTTTCATAAATTAGAAATCTATATTAGGAAAGTCTTGAATTTTATTCAATTTAATTTTCAAATTAGATTGGATGAAATTATTCTCTCCCTAAATGATAGTCGCCAATTAGGAAGTTATTTTAAAACCCCCCAAATCCCCTCTCCCTCTCTCATGCTGCCGGCCCTACTAGGGAGGAAATCCCATTAATGCTAATTGAAGGCATTAGTTACACTTGATTCAAAATGCAAAATTCAAATTAGCTTCCCTCCAAATTTATTTAAATCTGAAATTAATTTCAGATTTTGGATAAATCTCATCAACACTCCTAACCTAATCTCCTCCTCACACCCTAGCCGCCTCCCCCATCTCCTCCTGCCGACTCCAACTCCCGCCCCCTCTCTCTCTCTACCTTGGACGCTTGGGGGTGCTCATAACGGTTGAAGCCAAAAGAAGAAGACAACGTTCTCTCATCTCCTCTTCAATGTCAAATAGCCGATCCCGAAGTTGATAGCGGATTCGTACTCGACGCATACGGAGACATCCACATCGTTCGATCACCATTCTTCGACATCGGGTTTGGTTTTGACAACACCGTTGAGGATTACTTGAACCGAATCCTCCCCACCCTCGTAGACATCATCGACGACCAATTCTCGGACTACGAGTGGACAATCAATGGCCATCCGCCCGTGCCACCTCCACCTTCGACTACCTTCCCAACAGCGACTACTTCTCCACCACCGTCGACCTTTCCGTGGATTAAGACCATTGGTGTTGCGACCATCCTCGTGGCATCGTCGGGTGTGCTGAAGACCTTCTCCCGCTAAAGCCTAATGTAGCCGAGTGATCAATCCCCGAGGTGAAAACTCTCATTATTAAATCATGGATTGTTGATTAAGAGCTGTTAGTATTGCTACTATCTTTGTTTATCTATGAGATTTGGTTAATCTACATATACTCCTTCGCCTAAGCAAGTGGAAAACTAAGATTCTTTAATGAATTTACTTGTCATCACAATAAGTTATTGATTTGGATTACATTGTCATTTACTCTGAAATTTCTTAATAAGCTCTTGTGTATTTGGTTTCACATCATGCACACTCCTCAAACTTCCATGCAAAACTTTATAAGTTGGAAATTTCATGTGGGTTAATTTGTGATTGTGGATCACCCAAGGTGTGAGAAAACAATTGCAATTGTTGATGTTATGTTCTATAGCCTTTGCAAAAACACAATATTGAATGAATGGTATAACAAATTTTCCCTTTGTTAAGATCTAACAGCAAAGCACTGGTTTATAACATCTTTACCTTTCCTAAACCATGGGGAAATAAAAGTTTGAGTCCATTCTTGTCCTTCCTAAAATGGCCTATGATAAATTAATCAAAATTGGAATGGACTTTCAGGAGCGAGTGGAAGATTCTCCTTCAAACCTAGATTATAGGGTTCTTTATGATATAATTGAAAGCCTAAAATCTCATAATGAAATTAAAATTTTAGATGGTGAATTTGACCATAATAAGTAACTTGTACTTAAAATAATAATTAAAATTAAAACACAAATTAAATTTGATTTTTTACTAAACCAACCACCTTAAATCTTGGATTACATTATTAAACATTTCTGCAGGATTTGATAGGATTTAACACTTATCTTATCAAACAGTTTTCAGGACTTAACTTTAATAGGATTTAATAAATCCGGATTTATAGGATTTATCTCTTTGATTCATTAAATCATGCTAAAGTTAAATCCTACTTGTTGCCAAATACCCCTTAACTTTAACAGGATTTAAAAAATCAAATCACTCCTTTTGGATAAAAACAAGGTTTTAAAACCGGATCGGACCAGCCGGTTCAAGTTGAACCATGAACCAGCTGGTCGATCGGTTCGATTAATTCACGAAACTAGGATAGTAGAAACTGGGATTGAACTGATCGATCCGACGGATGAACCATGAAACCAGCAAACCAACGCCAGTTTTAAAAAATAGTTTGGTTTAGTTAAAACGCGATCTCAGTCGTACGAATGAGATCAAGTGGTGTTTGAGGAAAAATTAAGAAGTAAAAACCTAATATTCCTAATCCTATCCGGTTCGCTGCTCTTTTTTAACGTGAATAGGCTACGTTTTATTCTCGTTCTTAGCTGCTCGGCATCACTCTTCGTTTGTGAACTAGACCCAACGAGCGGCTACAACAAAGTCATTATTCCTCTTCGGCAACACACTTTCTTCTCCTATTTGCTTCAAATCATAGGATGTAAGTTTTTTAACCCTAATTTTTTAATGTTTTGTTTGGGTATTTTTTTTAAATGTTTGTGAAGGTTTCTTCCAAGGATATAATAATTCCTTTATTATCTTAATGCCCTTAAGAACGATTAGGGTGGATGCTTGTATTGTACACTTAATAATGTATAATTTAGTATTTACTGTTAAAATCTTAAAGAAGCTCAGGATTGAAGCTTGTTCCCTACTTTCTCTATGGTGTATTAGTTTTCGATATTCTTAGAGAAAATCTAAGCTCTTCTTGTTCGCTTCATGTAGGGTTTATGTCTTGTTAGTTTAATTGTGAGTGTATTTAGAAGTTATAAGCGCCAGTTTTAAAAAATAGTCTGGTTTAGTTAAAACGCGATCTCGGTCGTAGGAATGAGATCAAGTGGTGTTTGAGGAAAAATTAAGAAGTAAAAACCTAATATTCCTAATCCTATCCGGTTCGCTGCTCTTTTTTAACGTGAATAGGCTACGTTTTATTCTCGTTCTTGGCTGCTCGACATCACTCTTCGTTTGTGAACTGGACCCAACGAGCGGCTACAACGAAGTCATTATTCCTCTTCGGCAACACACTTTCTTCTCCTATTTTCTTCAAATCATAGGATGTAAGTTTTTTTAACCCTAATTTTTTTATGTTTTGTTTGGTATTTTTTTTAAAATGTTTGTGAAGGTTTCTTCCAAGGATATAATAATTCCTTTATTATCTTAATGCCCTTAAGAACAATTAGATATTGTACACTCAATAATGTATTATTTAGTATTTATCGTTAAAATGTTAAAGAAGCTCAGGATTGAAGCTTGTTCCCTACTTTCTCTATGGTGTATTAGTTTTCGATATTCTTAGAGAAGATCTAAGCTCTTCTTGTTCGCTTCATTTAGGGTTTATGTCTTGTTAGTTTAATTGTAAGTGTATTTAGAAGTTATATAAGTGGGCACAACAGGACCAAAAACTTTAAAGTTGGTCCGTATGAAGTTTCTTTTTCCTTAGTTATTATATTAATTTTATTAATTTTTAATAATATTATTATTATAACGTCATCCAGTTTGACCCAGATTCAATCGATTGAATCAATCGATACCATTAACCTCTCTTTTTTTCGGTTCGTTGTCCGGTCCAATTTTCACAACCTTGAGAAAAACACCTCACCCCTGAGAGAGAAGAGAGAGAGAATTTCAACACCAAGGACAACAATAACTTGGTTAATTGGTTTTTTACAATACCAAGCATTGTCATCCTATCCCCTTGGGTTGCTTCTTTAGTTTCCTCTTTAAGTTTATTTGGTCATTTCCTTGTGTGGCTTTGAACTTATTATCTTGTGTGACTATGAAAAACATCAAGGATAGATCCAATCATTAATATTAACCCAATGTATAGGTATGCCAAAAATATTCAATCCCATGTTCAGTTCAAAACGTCAATCCTGATTGATTTCCCAATGCTTGGGGAGCCTCCTAAATCAACAATAATTTAAAGATGATAATTATTGATAAAGACTCCAAAATATATCACTACATACCTTGAAGCAAAACCATAGATACTTCTAATGTTATTGAATTATTGTCTAATGAATTGACTGAGTTTCATGGTTTTCCATTAAACTATAAATGTGACGTAGCTTGCACTCTCCCTAATATAACAATCAAATCTAGTAAATGGTTTATTAGATCGCCAAAGACCATGATTTGGTCATCATATCGTATGAAGATCAAAGCGATTATGTTCATCAAAGTTTTAATGATCCGGTTTCTCTAAGAAAATTGTCCATGATGATGACTCTCAAACCAAATAGTTAATGTTAAAGGAAATGCCTCCAAAAATTATAATCACAATTGGGTCATCAATCAAACATCATACAAAGGAGATCAAAGTTTTATGCTTGATGGCAACACAGGAATTTTAGCCATCTATGGATAATTCATTCTTAAAGTAAGATGTTCCTTTAGAATTGTACATTCTCTCCGTGCAAAAACACCACAAGACATGAACCAAAGGGGATATTTTGCATTGGCAAGAAAGGCCACTTATCATGTTACACTCAATTGTACACCAGGAAGTTGCACATCCAGTATCCCTCATATGGAATTTTAATTTCACCTTAGTGAAATACTTCTAACTAGGGGACTAATGATCTTAGCATCATATCTATAATGAAATCAATCCAAACACCAATGATTGCAAAATGGATATAAGATAATAGGATTGATCAAAGAGATCATTTCATAAAAGTTTTAGTTAGTGGTCATATTTCTCCAAGAAAATTGTTGGCAAAGGTGATTCTCATATCACAAAATTGTGATTGAAGAGGATGTCATCAAAGACCATACGCACAATTTAATTGTCAACTTTACATCATACTAGCAAGATCAAGGCTCTGAAATCTAGATCATTGGATTCAATTTCAAATTACAACAAGATAATGATAAACTTAAATTTCTAAACTTGTTCGGACTTGTGTTAGAATTTTAATGTATTATTTTTAAAAGTGAAACTTACATATTTTGTTAATATAAATAGGATTTTCCTTTCTTTGTTGAGTTTGTTTATAAAAGAATTGAATCTCATCATTGTCATATTTGCCTATTTAAAGGCTATATTTCCTGCAAAAAATATTAATTTTGAAATCAAAATTCTCTTAACAAAATGATGTAGTATCAATGGGATCTTTATGGTGAAGGCAGCAATTTGATTGGTGTCCTCTTGTGGTGGTGATGGGATAGCTATTTGATTGATGGTGAAGCCGGAATTTAGGTTTTTGGACAGATTTTTGGTCTGAAACTTCTAAGCTCCAAAAAGATGGGTTTTCCTTGGAGAAAAATAATGAGAAACCACAGATCAAATGTTTGAGATATCAAGGAACTAAGTGTAGTATTTTTATGATTAAAAATTTTAATCAGTGGTTTGAGAAGTGTGAAACATTTAATTTGGTTGCTCACAACAAAAAATTCTATCTCTATATTAGAACTTTGGCTATGGTATATTAGGGTTCTTAAGGAGTTGATGCCTTGGAATGTTATGAGAGATATGTGGGGCTATTTGTGAGAGTTTGGATATGTTTGGAGGTTAAGGGATCCTAAGTTTGAGGCTAAGTAGATGAGGTGAAAATTATGAAAAGATGAAGAAAAATTATGAAAAGAGATAACTAAGGACTCATCAAAGCCCTAGAGGATTAACCACAAAACTTCACCAACGAGTAGAATAGCTACCAAACATTTTCACATGAAATTTGCACATGCAAAAAAATATTTTGTTTCCAATGAGTCAAAAGTACAAAACAAGATCCTATTTATAGGCCTTTTCAAAGCCTAAACAACTTCGTTAAGCCTTAAGAGCCAATAAAATGTTGCTGCATGGATTAATGATGTTCTAATACTAAAAGAAAGAAAATAAAAGAAATTAAATTAAATTAAAAGCTTTCAAATACATAAAAATTCGGATTTGCCACAAATGGTAAGTAGAATGGCCTTGAAATCAATCCATTTATGAAAATCTTTACCTTTTTTACTTGTATGGCTCACCTGCCCATCAAGGGGCCTTAAATAAAGCTTTTAAATCATTCTTGCATGATTTTAAATGTATTATAGGACGTTCATGGTCTTGCATTGAGAGTTTTGCATGATGATTGGCTTAAATTCTAATGATTGACCTTAATTTGTGATCTTATCATTAGCTTTTATCTTGGTGCTACATCACAAAATCTTTGTTTCTTCTCTCCCTTTCTCTACCAAAATTCACAAATTGGAAGCTCTCAAATTGGGATTTATAGCTCTGATGTTGTTTCCATAAGCATGATACCCTACTAGGTTGTTCTTGTCATTCATGCTTCTTGCTTTGGCTGAAGTTGGCTTGTTGTACAGGAGTTAATGACTTGCCAAAGCCATCATGGATGCATGCTATTTTATTTGTTTATATTGTTTTTTTGTTGGTTGTAGTTTTTGATTTCCTAATTGCCGTATTATTATTGCCACTACATTGCACTGAATTTTGTTGTTGTTTTGTGATTTTTAAAACAAAATAGAACTTAATACAACTGCTAATTGTATTTCAAGGGCGGAAAAATAAAATGACAAGGAGATATTATCTAAAACCAAAAAAATAAACTAAGAAGAGGATCTATGGATCACTCCCTGAGTGCTTAACTAAAAATTTCTTAAAAGATATATATGTTCCATTAGATCTTTTTTTAATTATTCATACAATAGAGTGTGATTTATATGTAGTTGATTTATATTTGTAATTAAATATTAACAAAGTGTTAAATATAAAGGATCTCTCCACATAGCATGGCACTCTCAAGCCTTATTCTTTGTGCATAAATGTTTATGCATGAATCAAATCACCTAAGCCATTGATGTATAAGGCTTAACAACACCATGAAAGTTTTTCTTGTGAAGTAACACAATCATATAAAGTGAAGCATTATGCTCATTCACCATGTTCAAGATCTTTTCGACCAAGGGGGAATGACGGGCTACAAATTACTCATTTCCATTTAATACATTAAATGACTGAAATTTCTAAGAAGGTTCCTTCGAACTTGTTTTTGTCTATGATTTCTAATATTTAAATAAAGATGTTTTAGGAGATTCAAAGCACTTTTTGTTTTATTAAATGTAAATTCAATTTCCTAATAGTTAATGAGTATTTTAACGATAAATGAAGTAGTCAAAGAGGAGTTCATAAACTCTAATAACTCACTTATTGAAAATCAGTAATTTGTAGGCCCTAAAACTCCTATAAATTGGGGAACCTTGCTAAGGAATGCACTTATGACAAAATAAATCTACATTATTCTCTACATTTTTCCCTTTTCTTTCCCTTCTTCCTATTTTTCTTTCAACCTTTGTCGCTTCTCTATTCTGTATCAACTAAAATTAGAAAATATTAAATCAATTTTGTATGCATGTAAAGAGCTTTACTAGAAACAATTAGTAAGAATAATTTGAGCACCACTGAATTTGATGATGATTATTGTTGATATCAACACAAGGACAGTTGATACAAGTCGCTGAGGAAGTAAGAAAGAATACTTCATTATTGTGTTTAATTCCACCCACAACTCTACAGTGAATATGGCAATTGGCACAAGTGTTATCAGCATGCATCAAATAGGTTAAATAATGTTAAAAGGGGTCTGTAATTTTTATGGATTTCATGAAGTTCTATACAAAATGACCAGAGTGATTCAAAGTAGTTCCTTCAATATAATACAACATTTTTTTTATTTAATCATAAATTAAAAAAAACGATATTGGTTGTTTATCAAACAGTACTACAGCTATAACTGGCATTAAATACTAAAGGTGTGATAATGGAAGAGCAACACTGCAAGGCTGCAAGCACATCTGCATATTTTTGGGCTTCATATCCAGAGATAAAAAATGATACCTGCTTGAAAGTCCTCGTATCCCACATTCTGACAGTAGCATCAGAAGAACAAGAACACAGAAGATTTGGCGAGGAAGGCACGGTAAAGCTAATCTCATGTATGGTGCTCATGTGACCTTTGCATTCACCAAGAAATTGCCCGGTGGCTGGAGAGTACAATTTGATGGTCTTCGACGACAAAGAAACAGCCAGAGTCGAAATCTCAGGACTTAAATTCGTTGAAAACAAAAGGCCACATCAGAAAAACGCAGCAACATGTAATCACAACACCAACCGAACCATTCATGCAAAATGTCCATTCTTTCTCATTGATGATCGAAAACAAGGAATTATAGAAGGTGAGGAGGGGAAATGAGTACCTCGAAGCTATCTGGAAGACGTAATCCTCGTGGAAATTGGTCTGGATAGTGTTCTTGATTGCAAGGCGTTTGGAGGAAGTTGAGGCACCGGAGAAACTGGAAGATGATTCGGCGGCGGTTCCATCAAATATATCCATCTCCACCTCGGCTGCTAGCTCCATATCTATGTCGTCGGCTTCCATATCCAACAGGATTCAGGAGGGGCGTTGCGCTGCTCCTCTCGCTGTCGTGATAGGATATTAAAACCATAGGGTTTTGGCTGCGTTTCTTGGAAGTAGAGATAGGATTCAGCAGCATGTAATCACCCTAAAGTAAAGGTACTTCTTGACTTCAAAAAAATATTAATATCTAGAAAGTACATGTACAGTATCCACAATTTTTTTAGTCAAGCTCGTAGAAAGCACAGTCAAAACGTAGTCAAAATGCAGTCAAAACGCAGTCAAAACGCACAGTCAAAACGCACAGTCAAAAAGTACAGCCCACGTGTCAAATTTTAATTGGATATCTGGACCTATATCCACGTATGGTGCCCGAATCTAATAATTTTTCGTTTCTTTGAGGCTTTTGCTGACAGTAAAAACTTATAAAAAAATCTAGCCACGAGAGAGTCATGGCTGAAGAGAAAATAAATAAGAAATTTTTATCACCACCATAAAACATATACCAATTTACATATCTAAAATATATATTTTATATTTATTTATATACATTTAAACTATTAAAGAGTTTTTAATTTGTTAAAAAAATATAAAGTATAATAAAATATAGTATAAAATAAATATAATATACTTAAAATATTTAAAATTATTTAAATTAGTGAAAAATAAATAAAAGTGATTTTTTAGAAAGATTTGTAGTAAAATGCAGTGGTGGATCCAACCCTTTTTTTTAAGGATGAACAAACTCAGTGTATAAAAATGTAAACATAAAAATTTATGTATATATTTCATAAGCAAAATTCTAAGTAAAGCCTTATTTATCATTATAATTTATTAAATAAAAAAATTACAAACTTTGCATTCTACTTTGTATTTTCTGATAATGTTGCATAATGACTTTATTTGGAACAGAATCAAATACTTCTTTCTAAATATGACACTAGATAATCATTGAGTCAGGCATCACTCATTTTGCTATGCAGTCGGTGTCTGATAATCTTCATTGCAAAAAATATTATCTCAACCGTAGCAGTAGCAACTAGTAAAGTCGGTGTCAAAATAATAAGTCTATAAACAAAGGAATACAATATTTTTTTCCTTTACAATCTATTGTGCAAGAGCAATAATGCTAGTCAAAGATGTAAACTCATTGTTAGCACGCATATAAATAATATAATTAGATAACTGATGTTCAAGAGACACAAGATCAAACATAGAGAAATCTATTGGATATAACTCTGCAAGATGAATTAACTTTCACTTATCATAAGCAGAGAACATATTACTCGGACTTAGACATGTCACACTAAGATGTAATTCGGTACTAGCTTTAGAGAATCGGTTATTCAATTCCTAAAGGTGCTTATCAACAATAGTGTAAAATAAATCAACTAGATGATGATAAAAGTTTGTTATTTCTGCACCTTTCTATTGACAGTCTACGAGTCTTGAATTTAGAATTCATATTTGAAACTTCAATTTCAAAAATATTACAAAAATGTGACACTCTTTAAGTAAAGGCCCCCATCTATTTTTCCTCATCATCTGCAATCGTTATTTAGACACTTGTACCAATTTCATTACATTTATAATATATTGATCCTTTCTTTATAAGGCTTGTGATAACTCATTTGTAATCCCTAAAATATCAGTCATTAAATGCAATGCTTAGATAAAGTAAAAAAATTTTCATGGCATGTATTAAAACACTAGCTTCAATTGATTGTTGATAATGTATCCCCTCTTTCTTGGCATTTTCAAGCACTTCAAGTACAGATGCATACATTTTTCTTAGACTGATTAATGTTTGAAAATGTGAACTCTAACGGTTGCCACCAGCACAATGCAAATTAGTTTCTTGGTTCAAATCTCGACCACTAATTAATTTTCTACTACTTAAAATGAAAAACTATTTTAGCATACTAAATAGATTTTAGAGTATCTTTTTTTACATGAAACTCCAATAGTATTGATAATTCTTAAAGTAGTCCCAAATAAATGTTTTACTTGCCAATTAATTTTTGTAATAGCTACTAAATATAAGTGTAGTTGATGAGTAAAATAATGAATATAGAATGTCTGATGATTATCTTTCAAAATGAGTGCTTTCAAACAATTAAACTCACCCCACATATTAGATATTCTATCGTAACCTTGACCCCATATCCCACCGCAATAACTAATTATTCTTTTGTAGACACATCGCGGAACTCATCAAGTAGAACGTTAAAGTAAGAATCAACAATATCATTCAAGATTATAGTCAAGGTTTCAGCAGCCATAAAACTACAAATATCTTTTTGGACTTTTGGTCTAATTAATTTTAACTTGGCACTTGTATTTTCAAATATAACTTCTCTGACCTTTTCATCATGATTTACACGAAACTGAAATAGTTTTATATAATTCTCTTGGTTATCTAAGCAAGATGATTCAACATACCTATGGAGCAATAGCCCTTGGCAAATAATAAATTGATCTTAATCAATAGCTGCAATTAACATTATGCGATATACTTTTTTATTATTATCTTTCTTGCTTGACCATAAAACGGGAATACTCTGCTCTTAAAGTTTCATTAAAGCCTCACATTTCTTTCTTGTCTTGTTGTGTGTACTGTTGTATTCTCCGACATGACCTAAAAGCTTCTCTTTCTCTTCTAGTTCTCAAATCCCTCACCAACAAATGTGTCTCCACCGCTTTGTCAAGTACCAACTTGCTCTTTGGGCTAAAATAAGTAGCAATAAAGATAAAATACAACATCTTTTTAGAGGAGAAATCGTCCCATAACGAATAGGAATCGTCCCGTACAATCCTATTTTGTATATATCTACTTGAGATCTTTTTGAAGAGAGAAATCTGAGGAGAAAGAAAAACGAAGGAAAAAAAGGAAGAAAATTGGATTTTGGGCGATTTTGGTCCGTTTTCGTCTGTCATCGTAGTTGGAAAAGTTGACCGACTCGAGGTAAGGCACATTCTGCCGTTCTCAATTTTCAGAAATGTGGATTATGACGACTTTTCTGTTTCTAATTTTGTTTTCGTTAGCGAATATCAGGTTTCATTTCGTGCTGATAAATGTTTTACCGTGTAACTTTTGGTATGTTTCTGAGATGATGTTTTTGCACATTTTGAGTATTTTCTGGAAGATTTTCACCAGGTATTTTGAATTCTGCAGAATTTTTATCAAATAGCGAATTATCTGGATGTTGAAAATATTTGCTTCAGTACAATAAAAGTCTTGAAATAATATTTTCTGCTATCTGTGATAATTTGATAAATTTATGGAATTATAAATTCTGTAGAATTTCCATATACTGCTGTTATGCCACTGATGATTTTTCTGACGAAATCTGATTTCTGAATTTGATGATTTGATGTATTCATATGCTATCAAGGGAGTTATAAGGGGCCAGAATCCATTGAGATTCTGTCTATGTCCGGGAAGGGAGGCATAAGGGGCCAAAATTCTTTTAGATTTTGTCTGTGTCCAGGAAGGGAGGCATAAGGGGCCAGAATTCTTTGAGATTCTGTATGTGTCCGGGAAGGGAGGCATAAGGGGCCAGAATTCGTTGAGATTCTGTCAGGGTCCGGGAATCTGATATCTAATATATGATATGTGATCTTATCTGCTTTGACAATGTGCTTTATGATTTGTACGATTCTGATTTGAAATTTGATTTGAATTATTCTGTTATATGAAATGAACTCAGTTCTTTTGTATCAGTTGTTTGATTTCTGTTTGATTAGCTATTTTATACGAGTATCTGTATTCTATCTGATTATATGATTTTCTATACGATTATCTGAATTCTGTACGGCTACTTTTTCTGATGTATTTTGGATGTGAGTTTCTGAAGATTTTGATTGACTGGTGTAGTCTTGCTGAGCTGTTAGCTCATTCTTATCATCTGCGTGGTTTTTAGGTTCTGGGAAAGGGAAGGAGGTCTTGGACTAGTCGTTTAGTATTTGATCTGAGATTAGGTATTTTGTACTTTTGATTTTTGTACAGTCATAACTTTTCTGTTCTGTTCTTTATGTTGGTAGCCATGCACTGTAATGTACTTGATTATTTTTATGAAAGAAGGAAGAAAACTTTAGATGAATTTCTATATATTTGGATATTTATAGTAGCTTTGTATTTTCTATGTGTCTGTTTATTGGAAGAAAGTCCGAAAGCAAATTCTAAAGCTAGATCCTAGATTTATTCGTCACGACTCGACGCGATGGGATTCGATCCGGTCGGGTTGGGTCGTGACAATTAAAGTGGTATCAGAGCAATAGTTTTAGAATGTGAATTGTAAGACAGAGCTATATGAATTGATCTGTAAGTCTGTTGGGGTAGTTTCTGTTTGTTTGGATTTTTATTATTTTTGTTTTATATGCATGTGTATAGTTGTATTCTGTGTGATTATAGATCTGCCAGACCCAGATATGACTGATGGGCAGAGTGCTAATCAGGCAGCTCCTATGAATAACATTTGTTGACCTCATTTTTCGCTCGAGCACTTTCGATCGATTTAATCAAGCATCGTCGAATCCAATTCGACCTCGAATCGACCCGACTCGAGCCGGATCAGACTCGAA